CTTATAAGTAAGAGCATGTGGTGTTTGGTTTCTTGTTCCTGTGAAAAACTTCATTTTAGAAAAATTAGAAGATACAGAGGCAATAAAACTTTTCCCTAATCCCATAATTAAGAGGTGACCACCAGTGACTTTTTCTGGCATTTTATATATAAAATATGTGTACACATTCGTAGATTATATAATTGGTATTGTATCTTATATACATTTTTATATTCAGTTTTTTTCACTTAACCATCATAAGTACTTTTCTATGTAGTTAATTTCTTTTAAGCATCATTTTAATGAAGTCATGTGTTCCATTTTGTGCGTATACTGTATATAATTAAATTAGATACCTGTTGTTAACATTTTGATTCTTTTTAATTTTGGATTATTTTAGCAATGTTGGTTTGAATATCGTGGTCTCCTTCTCTGATTTCAAGTGAAGGAATCAAAAACTATTTGAGTGCACTTAAAAGATCGCATTTTCAACTGGACATAGTGGCTCAAGCCTGTTATCCCAGCACTTTGGGGGCTGAGGCAAGAGGATTGTCTGAGCTCAGGGGTTCGACACCAGCCTGAGCAACATGGTGAGACCTCATCTCTGCAATAAGTCAAAAAATTAGAATGGCGTGGTGGCCATGCCTGTAGTTCCAGTTACTTGGAAGGCTGAGGTGAAATGATCCTTTGAGCCTAGTAGGTTGAGGCTGCGGTGACTGTGAGCCTGCCACTGCACTCCAGCCTGGGTGACAGAGTGAGACTCCAACTAAAAAAAAAAAAAAATCTCATTTTCATGTATCTTCTTACTGCCTTTCCTCACCAGGAGGAAAATTAACATTTCTGAAGGATCTATTGCATTCCAGGTCCATTCTCTTATTTCAGTGGTTTTCAAACTTTAATGCGTGTATAAGAATCACCTAGGGAGCTTATTAAAATTTCATTTTTCTGAGTCCTCAAACCCAGCTGTTTTGACCCATTGGCTCTGGACCCAGGAATCTACAGTTTTAATACATCCCTTATGTATTTAATAAAGACATTCTGGGAATCACATGTTAAGAAATGCTTTTTATTTTTATTTATTTTTTTGAGTTGGAGTCTTACTCTGTCCCCCAGGTTGGAGGGCAGTCGCCGCTCCCGGCCACCGCAGCCTCAACCTGCTGGGCTCAGGCGATCCTTCTGCCTCAGCCTTCCAAGTAGCTGGAACTACAGGCGCGCGCCACCATGCCTGGCTAATTTTTTTTACTTATTTACTGTAGAGATGACGTCTTACCAAGTTGCCTGGGTTGGTCTTGAACCCGCAGGCTCAGGTAATCCTCCTACTTCGGCCTCCCAAAATGCTGGGCTCATAGACGTGAAGCCAAGAAATGCTTTTTCAATAAATGGCCAAACAGACTCAGAAAATTTAGGTCACTTGTCCAAAGCCATTCATGTATTTCATAACACATATTTGAACTCAGCTCTTTGTGACTTTAGAGTCCTATTTTTTTCCCACCATCCCAGAGCTTCTCAAAAACCTTCTCACAGATATGTCTCTAATGACAGCAGAAAATAAACTCCTACTGACCCCATTGTAAGTTTCTCAAGGATAGCTGATAATGACATAGAAGTACACAGTGAGCTTCTAGTAAAGCCTCCCACCAGAAATTCTTGTTAATTTTGTATTGTGCTGCATGACATATAACTGCATAAAACAATTTCAGTTATTCAAGTATGGATTTCCACTGCGCTTATCCAGAGGCAGGTATGCTGTGTTCTCGTGTGCTGCGTAGCTCACGTGGTGGTACTCTGTGGCTTCATGGAGGAAGGGGAAGGCCACGTAGCACCTCCTCTCTGAATCAAGGAGGAGTATCACATTTGACTCCTCAGTGGCAGAGGAACAGAAGGTGGTAGGCATAACCAAGAGAAAGTGCCATTTATTAGAGAGGTGGCCCTTACCATTAGAAAAGTGTTGGTATTAGTGAACTGAAGGGAGCTAGTATTGGGTTAGCCTTTTCAAATTTTTTTTTTGAGTTGGGGTTTCATTTCCTTTTTTTTTTTTGAGTTGGAGTCTCACTCTGTCGCCCAGACTGGAGTGCACCGCAGCCTCGATCTGCTGGGCTCGGGCGATCCTTCCACCTCAGCCTTCCAAGTAGCCGGAATTACAGGCATGCACTACCATGCCTGGCTGATTTTTGATTTTTTGTAGAGATGAGGTCTCTCTGCCCAGGTGGGTCTCGAACCCGCGGGCTCAGGCATTCCACTCACCTCAGCCTCCCAAAGGCGTGGGATTACAGGCTGAACCACCGAGCCCGGCTGAGTTGGGGTTTCTTATCACTCAGGCTGGAGTGCAGTGGCACACTCATGACCACTGCAGCCTTGACCTGCTGGGCTTAGGTGATCCTTCTGCCTCAGCCTTCCAAGTAGCTGGAACTACAGACGCATGCCACCAAGCCTGGCTAGTTTTTGTGATTTATTGTAGAGACGAGGTCTCACCAAGGTGCCCAGGCTGGTTTCGAACCCCCATGCTCAGGCAATCCTCTCACCTCGGCCTCCCAAAGTGCTGGAATTGCAGGCTGAGTCACTGTACCCAGTCACCTTTTCAATTTTTAAAGCCCTTAGAATAGGATTCTGTATCCATTTAATTGTTTTTTTTCTTTTTTTTTTAACTTTTAATTTTTTTATTTTAAAGATTTGGGGTACAGTTCAGGGTTAGGTATACAAATGTTCATTATGCAGGTACCCTTGTTGATTAGGTGTGCCCCCCCCAGGCAGATTCCCACTACTGCCAATCCCACCTCCCTGCCAACCCCCCCTTGGCCCCTCCCCCCACAGTTTCCTGCTCCTGCTGATCCTTTTCTTATAGTATTAGAAAGTTGTTCAAGGTCCGCTTATGAGTGACAAGTTTTTTCTTTTCTATTAATCTTTATTCCCACCCTTCCCCTTCCCTCCCCCCCCTTTTTTCATTTCATGTCTCATCCCTTTTAATAGTAACCTGAAATTATGGTATGTCCTTATGTGTTTCAACCAGTATTTCCTAGAAAGTCATTCATTATTTGCCAAATGGAACACCTGCTATGTGTCAGTTGTTTTGAGGTACTGGGAATACAAAACAGTGAGTGATTCTGTCTGAGGATTAAGATAATTTGCTGCCATCCAGCATCTAGCAAGTGTTCTTATTTTTCTTGTGTTTTTGCTTACTTTTTTTTCTGAGACCGTGTCTTGATATGTTACCAAGGCTGGTCTCCAACTCCTGGACTCAAGTGAACCTCCACTTTGGCCTCCCAAAGTGCTGGGATTACAGGTAGGAGCCACTTTCCAGCCTGCTGCCATTTGTTGATTTGCGTTTTACTTGGTCCCTGATTTTTTTTTTAAATCTTTTTTTTTTTTATTATTTGTTTGTTTATTTTTTTGAGTTGGAGTCTCACTCTTGTTGCCCAGGCTGTAGTGTAAGCAGCAAGCTCATGGCCACCACTGTCTCTACCTGCTAGACTTAGGTGATCCTTCTGCCTCAGTCTTCCAAGTAGTTGGAACTACAGACGCATGCCACCACGTCTGGGTAGTTTTTGTGATTTATTGTAGAGAGGAGGTCTCACCAATTTGCCCAGGCTGGTCTTGAACTCGTGGGCTCAGGCAATCCTCTCGCCTCGGCCTTCCAAAGTGCTGAGATTACAGGCTGAGCCACTACTCGTGACCAAACTTTTTATTTTTAACTAATTTTAAACTTACAAAAAAGTTGTCAGAATGGAAGCGAGTTCACCTACCATTCACTACTATTAGCCCTTTACGTAACCATAGTACATTGATCAATATTATTAACTATACTATAAACCTTATTTTAAGTTCATCAATTGTCATACTAAAGTACTTTTTATCTGTTCCTTCTGTATTCTATCAAGGATCCTGCATTGAATTTAGTCTTTATGTTTTCTCAGTCTCTTCTAGTCTGAAATAGTTCCTCAGTTTTTCCTCGTCTTTCATAATTTTGACCCTTTTGAAGACTATCAATTAGTTATTTTGTGAAATGAATTAGTCTGATGTTTTCTCATGCTTCTAATGAACCAATGTATCTTTGACAAAAATGCCATAGAAGTGATGTTGCACCCCTCTCCATGGAACACATCACAGGCTTTATGAAGATAGTAGAGCTTATCACCGTAACTTGACTTGATCTCTTGGTTAAGGTGATGTCTGTTGAGTTTTTCCTCTATAAAGTTACCCTCTAATAATTATCCTAATAATTATCTTGGGAGAGATCCTTTGAGACTATTCTGTTTATCCTTATTTTCTGCCCATTAATTTTAGCATCTGTTGGTGGATGTTGTCTGCAGTGATCGATTCTGTGGTGCTTGCCTAATGGTGATTTTTTTCCCCCGTCTCCTACTTCTTATTAACTGGAAGTTTACTAGAAGTAAGTAAGTTTCTCTCCCATTCATTTATTTACTTGATCATTTATGTCAGTATGGACTCATGGATATTCAGTTTGTTCTGTGGGTTAAAATACAGTGGCAGCATGATTTATGTTGTTGCTCAAATACTTCCAGTTTGGGCCATTAGGAGTTTACATGTAAATGACTATCAACATTCCTATCATCTCCCTGACTATGCCCAGGGAACCATTGCCCTTTAGGACGTGGGCAGAGGTCATTCAGAAGTAAAGGAACTGTCATTTGGAGAATAAATATCAAGGTGTAGGGAAGGTGGGGCAATGTGTGTGCAGATTGTAAACTCCCTGAATTCTGCAGGAGTAAAATATCAGTCTTTCTACTGTGCTGGGAGTCCCAAGACAGCAGGACCGTGTGCCTAGGGCCACATCTTGGGCACTCACCCACCCTGAGTCTGCAGAATCAGAAACGTTGGAATACTGATTTTGGTGCTCTCAGCTGCTGAATGAAGACTGTATCCTTTCTCCTTGGCATACAAGTGCTTAGTAAATGTTTATAGAATGATACATGGTACCCTCCCCACCCACCTTGGTGAAGTAAAAATGTGTGTGGTTAGAGATTCTCCAAGAATGATATTTTAGCATTCATGCTGGCTTGCCTTTTGTTATAGCTTCTCTTCCTTGATAGATTTTTAAAATTATTAGGGAATATTTCAAGCAAATACAAAAGTAGAAAGAACATGGCTCTCAGGTACCTGTCACCTGTCTTTACTACTTCTTAATATTTTACTAATCTTGTTTCATCTATTCTCCCACTTTGAGGTGGAGTGTTGGCATATTTAAAAACAAATAGTAAACATTAAGATCTAGGAAAAGATTGAAGTAAACTCTGAGTACAAGGACTAGGCTTTAATTCCTTTTTATATCCTATTCCCTTTGGTGCCTAGTACTGTACTTGAAAATAGGAGGCTGGGTGTGGTGGCTCAAGCCTGTAGTCTCAGCACTTTGGGAGGCCAAGACGAGAGGATTGCCTAAGCCCAGGGGTTGGAGACCAGCCCAGGCAACTTGTCTTTCTATACAATAAATTAAAAAAAAAAAAATTAGCTGGACATGGTCGTACGTGCTCGTAGTTCCGGCTACTTGTAAGTTGAAGCAGAAGGATTGCCTGAGTCCAGCAGGTCGAGGCTGCCATGGCCGTAAGTGTGCCACTGCACTCCAGCATGGGCGACAGAGCGAGACTCCAACTCAAATACAGGAAATAGGGACACTCAGAAAAGATTGGTTGAATCAAGTGGAGGAAAACTAAATATGAAAACTTGATACTTATTGACTAACTCTAGGGCAGACTTCTAGAAAGGAAAAGGGCGGTAAGTCTTGCTCTAAATAACTTTTTTCATGTTGCCTGAATTTGTTCTCTACAGTCATGATTCTCTCATCACCTCAAAGTAGCCTTGATTGAAAAAGAAAATAACTTTAGGGCTGGGCATGGTGGCTTGTTTTTGTAATCCCAGCACTTTGGAAGGTAGAAGCAAGAGGAACTCTGGAGCCCAGGAGTGTGAAGGTGCTACTGCACTCCAGTCTGGACAACATATTGAGTCCTCTGACTAAAAAAAAAAAAAAAAAAAAAGGGAAAGAAAATAACTCTAGGACTGTTGTGAGACCTTAGGATCTCTCAATTACTTAATTATTAGTGTAAATAAGTTTAATCTGATGGCATTTTTCCAAACATCAAACAGGAGTCACTTGCCCTAAAAATAACTTTCTTCACAAAGTCATTATATATTTTTAAATTACAAAAGTAATATATAATTATTGAGAGAAAAATGAAAATTACAGAAAAATAGAAAGTGAAAATTATATTCCAGAGGTAATATTATCTTGGTGAATATTTTGATAACATTTGAACATGAATCACAGTGGTAGTCAGAGTCAATACATAGTTCTGTTTCTGGGAATGTACCATGTAGACCAGTGTACTTGGGTGCCTCATTTAATTAAATTACAGCAACTTTGTGAAGTATTTTTCACCATGTTATAGCGGGGAAACACACTGAGAAGGGTTACCTTCTGTTGATTAGCTGGTCTTTTTTGAAAGGCAGATGGACAGACAGATGACAGACCCTTCCTACCTCAAATGTTTATTCACAGGAACCATGAATCCTCACCCTTGAACTTCCTTAATACTGGCTTTCTGTGCAGTTTTGGGGAGGGCACTTGGGCTTAGAGAGAGGGGTAAAATGATTATTTTTGACTGGGTGAGATATAGTTTGAAGACATGGGGTTAGTAACGAGGACCTGATTATTAAGTCATCATTAATAATGGCTCCTTGCTCTTAGAATAAATGTCTTATCTTTGAACAAATTCTATAGGCTGCAGTTGAGCAATATTAGTTTATGATTACTCATAACTGTTTACTTGTATCTTTTTTTTTGAGTTGGAGTCTCACTCTGTTGTACAGGCTGGATGGAGTGCAGTAGCACGGTCATGGCCACCGCAGCCTTGACCTGCTGGGCTCAGGCAATCCTTCTGCCTCAGCCTTCCAATAGTTGGAACTACAGGTGGGCGCTATCTGTCTGGCTAATTTTCTGATTTACTGTAGAGATGAATTCTCACCAAGTTGCCCAGGCTGGTCTCAAACCCGCAGGCTCAGGCAATCCTCTCGTCTCTGCCTCTCAGAGTGCTGGGATTACAGGCGTAAGCCACTATGCCTGACTTTTAAAATTTTATTTTATTTACTGCCATCCCTTGGTACACTGGGGGTAGGGGTTGGTTGTAGGATTTCCACATCTACTCACATCCGTGCATACTCAAGTTCGGCAGGCTGCCCTGTGGAACTCATGCATTGGAAAGGTTTACCCTCTGTGTACATGGGTTTTTCATCCCAGGAGTACTGTATTTTTGATCCCCGAGTATAAGTGGACCTGCACAGTTCAAACCCATATTGTTCAAGGTTCAACTGTTTTTCTAGAGAAGTTTTAGATTCACAGCAAAATTGAGCGGAAAGTTCAGTTTTCCCAGGTACCCCCTGCCGTAGGTAGATTTTTAAATCTATGCCGTCCTTTCTCCTCTGTAGAATCATGTAGTTAGATATGTATTTTTCTTTCTTCCTTTTTTTTTTGAGTCAGAGGCTTACTCTGTTCCCAGGCTGGGGTGCAGTGATCTGCTCACTGCCACTGCAGCCTTGACCTGCTGGGCTCAGGTGATCCACCTCAGCCTTCCAAGTAGTTGGGACCACAGGCACATGCCACCATGCCCGGCTAATTTTTTAAAATTTATTTATTGTAGAGATGAGGTCTTGCCAAATTGCTCAGGCTGGTCTTGAATCCATTTGCTCAGGCAGTCCTTTCACCTCAGCATCTCAAAGTGCTGGGATTATAGACGTGAGCCACCACTCCCGTCTGGATATGTATTTTTAAAGGTCCTTCCTGCTTCTAACACTGGGATAATTTTATAATCATAATTTCCTTCCACTTGGCGATTCTCTCTTTCATGTAACTATACCCCCATAAACAGCTCTTAGAAAAAGAATATATCCCAGTCTAAATTTTCTAAGATTGAGATCTTGATTAAAAAAAATTTTCCGGCACAGTTTCTTTTGCCCATGCCAGCTCTGGCATGTCTCCCTTTCTTTTCTCCCTTCTTTCTCTAATAAACTTTGTTTAAAAACTCAAAAAAAAATTTTTTGCCAACTGTCAGCATTTAAGCCTCCTGCAGTTAAGTCCACAAGAGATTGTCTGATTGGCCCCTGGAGTCTGATGACTTACTATCCCCAGGAGAGAAGGGACTAGACTTCAGGAACAGATAATGAAAGGGAAGAGGGGAGAGAGGTGGAAGGCCACCAGAGGAAACTGCATGTTTCCAGAGTTTCTGTTGGGCCTACCCAGGCACCGAGGGGAGACGAGAAATGTCCATGAGAAGGATGTGGCAGAAGCAAGGCCTGCGGTACTGACCACCTGGGCTCAGACCCCACTCTATCACTTACTAGTTGTGTGGCCTTGGGCAAGCAACTTAATCACTCTAAACCCTGATTTTCTCATCTATAATATGAGGAGACTAATAATTCTTCCCTTCCAGGGTTGAGACGAGAATTAAGTAAATTAATACAAGCGATTTAACCCCACTGCATGGCACAGAGTAAATGTATAAACAAATTGTTTTTTTTCTTTTTTTTTTTTTGAGTTGGAGTCTTACTCTGTTGCCCAGGCTGGAGTGCTGTGGCACACTCATGGCCACTGCAGCCTCCACTTGCTGGGCTCAGGTGATCCTTCCACCTCAGCCTTCCAAGTAGCTGGAACTACAGGCGTGCGCTACCACGCCCGGCTAATTTTTTGATTTATTGTAGAAATGAGGTCTCGCCAAGTTGCCCAGGTGGGTCTCGAACCCGTGGGCTCAGGCAATCCACTCACCTCGGCCTCCCAAAGCGTGGGATTACAAGCTGAGCCACCGAGCCCGGCCTCTTTTTCTTACCAGCTGTTATTACTGCCTTCTTCTGTGATAACTTTAAGGACTCTACACACACAGGCCATAATGTTTAATTGCTCCCTGGGTCAAACATTCCTCAAGAATTTATCCTCTATTTCCATTTATAATCTTGTGTTTAGAGAGAAATGTTTCAGCCGGGCTCGGTGGCTCAGCCTGTAATCCCGCGCCTTGGGAGGCCGAGGTGAGTGGATTGCCTGAGTTCGCGGGTTTGAGACCCGCCTGGGCAACTTGGTGAGACCTCATCTCTATAATAAATCAAAAAAATTAGCCGGGTGTGGTAGCGCACACCTGTAGTTCCAGCTACTCGGAAGGCTGAGGCGGAAGGATCGCCGGAGCCCAGCAGGTCAAAGCTGTGGTGGCCGGGAGCGGTCACTGCTCTCTAGTCTGGGCGACAGAGTGAGACTCCAACTCAAAAAAAAAAAAAAAAAGAGAGAAATGTTTCCTAGATTTCCTTCAAACTAACAAAGAACTTAATTTTTAGAATACTACTCTTTAGTAAGTGTGAAACTGTCTTGAGTTGCTAAGATTGTTTTTGTTTTTGTCTTTTACAGTTACTAAGTCCCTACTTCTCACTTAAAAATACCCCACTTTGTTTTTATTTTATTTTGTTCTTTATTTATTTACTTTGAGTTGGAGTCTCACTATGTCCCTCAGGCTGGAGTGCCAGTGGCACCATCACAGCTCACCCCAGTCTCAAACTCATGGGCTCAGGCGACCCTCCCACTTCAGCCTCCCGAGTAGCTGGGACTACAGGCATGTGATACCATGCCTGACTAATTTTTTTTTTTTTTTGTAGAGACAGGATCTTTCTATGTTGCCCAGGCTGATCTCAAGCTCTTGGGCTCAAGCAATCCTCCCATTCATCCTCCCAAAGTGCTGGGATTATAGACATGAACCACTGTGCTCAGCATACTTTGTATTATAAAGGACTGTATTATAAAACTACATACATAAACATTTATAAACATGACTATGTAATATATGTAACATATATATAAAAATATATCAAACTATTATTATAATATAATATAAAACTATATTACTAAAAATTCTAGAAATAAAAGAGAAAAACAATCACCCCAGCTAATACATTCTTCTAATATAATTATCATTAGCTTTTGGATGTATTTCTTTCTAGACTTTTCTTAATTCCATATCTTCAGTTATGATCATAGCATACATATATAGTTTACTTTCTGTTTTTGTTTTTGTCACTTAACATTTAGTTGTGGCCAGGCGCAGTGGCTCAAGCCTGTAATCCCAGCATTTTGGTAGGCTGAGGCGAGAGCACTGCCTGTGCCTGCAGGTTTGATACCAGCCTGGGCAACTTGGTGAGAGCTCGTCTCTACAGTAAATCAAAAAATTAGCCAGGCATGGTGGCATGCACCTGTAGTTCCAGCTACTTGAAAGGCTGAGGCAAAAGGATCGCCTGAGCCCAGCAGGTCGAAGCTCTGGTGGCTGTGAGCGTGCCATTGCATTCCAGCCTGAGCAACAGATGGAGACTCAGATTCAAAAAAAAAAAATATTTAGTTGTAAGTGTATTCATGTGATTGTTTAGCAGAGAAAATATTTTGGTCTCCATTTTGTCTGTTTAGTGTTTGTCTATCCATGTCCTGGCTTTAGCAATTTCTGCATTCTTCTGAGAACATGTTTAGAATCTGAGGAGAGACGTGTTGTTTTTACCATGCAAAGAAGATGCTGGGGGTGTTGTTGGCTGCACCACAGGGGGCCTTGCCAAGTAGCCCTCACCACCTTAGTGCATGGTCTGGGGTAGGCCCTCAACTAGGAGGCCCTACAAATGGGATTTTTGTCAGTAACTTAGAGCATAACCTCTTCTCTGAAGTGAATTTATATTATCCCACCCGATGCTACTGAAGTATGAAATCAGTATGGCAATTCATCAACTGACAGCGAGAAGTAGAGTGCAGTAAAGTGGTGATTCAGACAGCCACTAGTGTGTCTGCTTGCTTGCCAAGGTGGGCTGACTCTGTGTGTGTGTGTGTGTGTGTGTGTGTGTGTGTGTGTGCGCGCGCGCGCTCGCATGTGTGTGTGTGTGTGTGCACACACACACACAAACACATATTTTTGAATTGGAGACTCACTCTGTCACCCAGGCTGGAGAGCAGTGACACGCTCACAGCCAATGCAGCCTCAACCTGCTAGGCTCAGGCAATCCTTCCTCCTCGATCTTCCAAGTAGCTGGAACTACAGGCGTGCACCACCATGCCCAGCTAATTTTTTGGTTTATTGTAGAGATGAGCTCTCACCAAGTTACCCAGGTTGGTCTCGAACCCCTGAGCTCAGGCAGTCTTTTCTTCCTTGGCCTCCCAAAGTGCTGGGATTACAGGCTTGAGCCACTGTGCCCGCCCAACACTGTATATATTAATACATTAAGTCATCCGGTCCTTCAGTGACTTCCACAGGTAGGTATTGTTTTTATCCCCATTTTACAGATAAGGAAACTAAGGCTTAGTTAAGTGACCAACTGGAGGTTATGTGGCCGTTATGTGGTGGAGCTCTAGTTTCTGTCTAAATCCAAACCCTTGATCCTAAACACTGCTTTAGTTCTACCTGCTATTTTTATAGATGGTTGACCTCCTGTGTTGGAGTTCTCTTGTGTTTCTTGTCCCCACTGCCCACCGATGGGATGTGCCCTGTGCCTGTGTCTCACTGAGAATATTGCATTCATTCCCTGCTGTTGAGACCATGTGTTTCTAGCTGTCACAGGGAAGTAGAGCATTTGTCTTTTTCCTTTATTTTTTCTTTGGTTCAAAATATGCTTCCATAACAAGGTATCTCATTTTGTTAACTCTCTCTTAAACTGTGCCAGGAATGGGTAACTGAGGAAGAGCACTGTCAGGGCTGTGTCTTAGGCTGTGCTCAGCTCAGATGTGAGGGCATAGATGTGAGGGCATTTGCTGTCTCGTCTTTTTTGCTTATTCACTCTGTCCATGCAGCGTCTGGAAATGGCTTCCCTTCTCCGGTGACAGCCTGGGTGATAACCCAGAGAGAGCTTCTGTGATGTATGGATGGTTGGGACCTTCTACCTCTAAAACCTCTAGTTTTCTGATTTCTAAGCTCTCAGTGGGAGAAATACCATTATTATTAGTCCAGGTCCATGGGGGATGGGTGTTTCAGTTTGTACTGCAGTGAATCATTTCAGGATAGGATTTCTGTTTGAAACAACATGTCTTTTGTGATTGCCTTTTAGATTGTTGGAGCAGAACGACTGAGCCAAAGCAGGCATTGCTTCTTCAGTTGTCATCAGATTGTAATCAGATTGGAGGAGTTTAACTCGAAGCTTCCTTGCCTGTGGGGAAGCAGAGAGATAGATATTACTCACATGATAAAAGACATGGGCTTCACCTTGACTTTTCACCTTTCCTACAAACTCCGATTACTGTTGCTTTTGACCGTGTGCCTGACGGTGGTTGGGTGGGCCACTAGTAACTACTTTGTGGATGCTATTCAAGAGATTCCTAAAGCAAAGAATTTCATGGCTAATTTCAATAAGGCCATAGCTCTGGGGAAGGAAGAAACTCTGACTAACGAAGCAGCCACGAAAAAGGCAGAGCTTGTCAACTGCCCGTCTGTGTCTCCATACCTCAGTAAGTGTTTCCTTTTTTCTTTTGTATAAGTAGTATATGAACTTATTATTTAACTATAATATATGTCCAGAAAAATACAAATAGGAACTAGGGCTTCAACATACGAATATCAGGAGGTACACAAACATTCAGTTAATGCACGCTCTTTTCTATGGTTTTCAACTATAGTTTTCTATAGTTGAATCATAGTTTTGTACTGGATTAATATTGGCATGCTACATCTCTTTAATCACTCCCGGAAGAGCCAAAACATCATTCAGATTATATGTTCCATTCACAGGGTACACAAGTTGAAATGTGAAAATGAGGTACTAAAATGCAAATATGACTGTATTACCCTCCTTGTTGAAAGTCCTCACAATATATTTGAGCAGTAGATTCATTCATAAAGTAGATCCATTCATGATGCAATATGGAGCAAGTACTGGACTATGAGGGTGACATGGTAGTGATGACTTGAGATGGGCCATTAGTGACCCAAGGAGGGACAGAATTTGAGAAGATGTCAGGGAAGGGTGGTAGGGAAACTGATGGAGAGTAAATAAAGCGGATACTTGAAGGTTAGGGCACATAACAAGTTGCACCAACAAGAAGGTGAGCCAGGGGACTAGCTTCTGTCAGACCCATTTCATGAGACTCTTTCAAGGTGCAGGAACAGAGATACAACGAGGCTAATGATGAAGTTTATGAACAGGCTACACAGGAAGCATCTCAACAGCCACCCTGTTAATCTCTGGTAGCTCGGTTTCCTGGCAGCAGCTCTAGTACTCATCTTCTGTAACTCAATTCCTTTTTTTTTGTTTTTGTTGTTCACCCAGGCTGGAGTGCAGTGGCATGCTCACGGCCACTGCAGCCTCGACCTGCTGGGCTCAGGCGATTCTTCTACCTCAACCTTCCAAGTAGCTGAAACTATAGGCATGTGCCACCATGCCCAGCTAATTTTTTGATTTATTGTAGAGACAAGGTCTCACCAAGTTGCTCAGGCTGGTCTCGAGTCCCTGGACTCAGGCAGTCCTCTCGCCTCTGCCTCCCAAAGTGTTGGAATTACAGGCATGAATCACCACATCTGGCCTCAATTTCATACTGATTGTTTTTAGGGCATTTCTGATAACTATGACTCGAATGCAGGCCCTGCAGAAAGAGGGCTCTTGTAGGTCAGTTATTCCCTCTGGATGGCTTGAGGGAGTTACTTATCCTCAGTGCTCTTGGGTAGGACCTAGTCTTAGCAGCCATAGCTAGGGTAGGGGCTGGTCATATGGAGCAAATCACAACGATGCATTCATACAAGGGCCTGGGACTGCTTTGCTCAGAAAGGATAGCACAACCTGCAAGCGTCTTGAGGTTTTACAGCCTGATCAGTACATGTGGAGTTCATTAAAAAAAGAAAGAAAAAAAAAAGCTTATTGTTTCCTCCTATGTATGGCATTGGGCTTCATCTGGTCAGCCTGCTTCCAGGCTCATTGGTAAATGCTGTGCTCAATTGGACATGTCTGCTGTGGTGCGCAGTGGGAGAGTTATTACAGGGTCACATGTACCTGTTACCACTGGGTTAGGGAGTGAGACTGGTTTCTACTTCTTTCCAGTGCTTTACCTACAGGGAGCTAAGCTGGGGTTTAGAGAAGGAGTGGGAAAACGGCCTTGCCCAGGAACTTGATTCAGGGGAATGCTCTAGGTTTTTAAGAGAGTTCACTTTCCTTCTGGCTTTTGAAGAAGGAAAAGAGGATAGAGCATATTTGAAGAATTACTCAGTCTAGCCCTGACTTTTGCTCTTTACTATCACCAGGGTAGTCCATATTTCCTACTTGAAGGTGGGTCACAGAGCCAGAGCTGATTACTCAGGCCACAAGGAAATACTCTTATATATCAGTTACTTGCTTTTGTAGCCAGTAACCTTAGTCACGTGATTCTGTGGCTATGGTTCATGACTAAATGAACCTTTAAAGTAATGATAATAAAATGCTGGCACTCATGGTGATCACTGTGTGCTGGAGAGCGTTTTAAGTGCTTTACATTTATTAGCCCTTGTAAGCCTCAACACTTTCTATAGCTACTGGTGTTACTTCTGTCCTGTGTTCGTTGTAGGAGGTCAGAGCAAACTCATTTTCAAACCAGATCTCACGTTGGAGGAGGTACGGGCAGAAAATCCCAAAGTGTTCAGAGGCCGGTATCACCCTGAAGAATGTAAGGCACTACAGCGGGTCGCCATCCTCATTCCCCACCGGAACAGAGAGAAACATCTGATGTACCTGTTAGAGCATCTTCATCCCTTCTTGCAGAGGCAGCAGCTGGAGTATGGCATCTACATCATCCACCAGGTGAGTGTGGGAGGCAGTCCCAGGCGCTGCCCTTCAACCCTCCTCTCTCTGAGGACCTCGGCCACGTAACCATTTGTAAAAAGAACATCAAACCATTACCAAAGGAGAGTTCTCTTACCTCGTTTATCCTTGAAAGGAGTACAGGAAATGCTTGTCCCAGAGTGTGGGTTAATGAGTCCAAGTTCTAAGAACAATAAACGTTCATTTTATTGCTCTTAAATGAACGCTAGAAGAAATCCATTTGTGTGTGTGTGTGTGAGTGTGTGTATGTGTGTGTGTGTGTGTGTGAGAGAGATCTCTTCCATGTTAGCTAATGACTGCCCTAAGATTTTCCCCTGAATTTTACTAACCCTTTTATGTTCCTTCTGTGCTTGCTATGCACTATACGATGAGATGTTCGCATTGTTTTTCATTGTTGTCTGTGGCTATTCAGTGGGAATCTAGACAGAAGGAAAAAAAAAGCTTATCGTTTCCTCCTTATTATTTACAGAATACTCTGTGCTAAGAACCATGAAGTTTTATGACTGTCCCCACATTTCTGCCTTTAACTTTGCCACTATTTATTTGTAGAATATGCTATGTTTTATTTTCACTTTCTTGATTCACTTGTTTGGCTTCCAGGTCATTATTTAGTAGGAACACAGTATAACTGTAGGCTGCTTTTGGAGAGTCTTGCTCTGAGCTCCATGGAGTGGGTGATTAAAGATGCCTCTATTTGGTATTAAAGTTTATTGAAAGAAAACTAACACATCAGTTTAAACATCTATGTCTAAACTTTACAGAATTATTTTGGGCCATCCAAATAATCCCTCCTCCCCGAATTCTTACAAATTCTAAGAATGGAAGCACAGCCACTAACTACTTAATATTGTTATAAATGGTAATAATTTGTTTAGTTGGAACTTCTGACAACTCAGAGGATCAGCTCTGCAGTTTATGTTTTATAGTAAACTTAGCCTCTTGGAAATCATTGTGCCAATGTAGTAGTATATCATGACCATTTTTTAGTTCTTGAAATACGATTTTACACTTATGTTGTTTTATAATTATTTTAGGTTTCAACATTGTAGGTCATAGGTATGATTTGCTTGGTTCTATGTTATTACTCAGGACAGCAATTCCCAACGTGTAAAATTATTATTATTTTTTATTATTTTTAAAGCAGGATTTATTTATTTTTTTTTTAAGTTGGCGTTTCACTCCGTCGCCCAGACTAGAGTACAGTGGCACGCTTCCGGCCACCGTAGCCTCGATCTGCTGGGCTCCAGCGATCTTCCCTCTTCAGCCTTCCAAATAGCCGAAACTACAGGCGCATGCTACCATGCCCGGCTAATTTTTGATTTATTATAGAGAGGAGGTCTCGCCAAGTTGCCCAGGCGGGTCTCGAACCTGTGGGCTCGCCTCGGCCTCTCAAAGTGCTGGGATTATAGGTTGAGCCACCGAGCCCGGCCAGCAGGATTTATTAAGAGGACAGAAGAGTTCCCACAGTGGGAGGGGACCCGAAGGGGTTGCCCATAATACTATTTTTTAGATAGAAAAATATGTCTGCTTTGTGTTATTCTTTGGAGGAAAACCCTGTTGTAACTTGTGAGAACTGCTTGTATTCTTGTTATGAGAAACCATTTATTGAACGGAATTGAATTGTTATATAATTTGATTCCAGCAGCCATGAAAAACATTAATATTACAATTTTTTTTCATATTATAGCTTTGATCATGTTACAGATCAAATTGTGTTCTTTTCTTGCCCAGAGGCAAATCTCCCTCCATAAGGCTGTAAGGATTAGCCTTCGCCATTAGTGTTGTAACAGGATTCTCTTACAGTGATTTCCAAGAAACTTTTAAGCAGCTTAGAAATATTAGTAATAACCTTCTCTGCTGATAGGTCAAGGTTTCTCAATCCTTTATGGCAAACTATTAACTAAATCTCTTGGAAGCTTAGTATAAATTTGTAACAAGGGGTAAGATTGGGATTAACTGAGAGTTGAGCAGTAATACTAATTGGCATGACTAGTATGTAAGAAAGTTTTGTAGTTTTATATACAATAAAGGTATTTTTTAAATGTTGAGGTTTTTGAAAAAATTTTATTTGTGGTAAGAAGTTTAATATGAGGTTTATCCATTTAATAAGTTTTAAGTATATAATACACTATTCTTGATTATTTAAGTTATTTTTATCTGTACCTTAAAAGTACATTACAATTTAAAAAAATTGTGGTGACACACACATAATACAAAATTTACCATTTTGGCCTTTTTTTCCACTTTTATTTATTTTTGCCATCTTAACCATTTTTTTTTTTTTTTTTTTGAGTCAGAGTCTCACTCTGTCACCCAGGCTGGAGGCACGCTCGTGGCCACCCCAGCATTGACCTGTTGGGCTCAGGCAATCCTTCTGCCTCAACCTTCCAAGTAGCCGGAACTACAAGTGTGCGCTACCATGCCCGGCTAATTTTTTGATTTATTGTAGAGATGAGGTCTCATCAAGTTGCCCAGACTGGTCTCGAACCCCTGGGCTCAGGCAGTCCTCTCACCTCAGCCTCCCAAAGTGCTGGGATTACAGGCTTGAGCTACCATACCTGGCCATTAACCATTGTTAAGTGTATAGTTCAGTAGTGTTAGGAATATTCACACTGTTGGCTGGGTAAGGTGACTCACACCTATAATCCTAGTACTTTGGGAGGCTTAGGGAAGAGGATTGTTTGAGTTTCTGATTTCAAGACCAGCCTCAGCAACGTAGTGAGACCTTGTCTCTACAAAAAAATAAAACAATTAGCCAGGCATAATTATGCGCTCCTGTAGTACCAGCTACTAGGGAGACTGAGCAGGAAGGATCTCCTGAGCCCAGAAGGTTAAGGCTGCAGTGAGCCATGATCATGCCACCAGATTCTGGGTGACAGAGTGAGATTCCAGTTCAAAAAAAAAAAGAAAAGAAAAGAAAAGAAAGAAAATACTATTCACACTGTTGTGCATTCAATCTCCAAACTTTTTAATCCTGCAAAATCAGAACTCTACACCATTAAACTACAACTCTCTAGATTTTAAGGGATGTTTTAAAGTTATGGACTATGCATAAATACATGTGAACCATAAGGAAAAAAAATCAAATGGTCTTTTATTGCCATTGCATCTACTGTCAGATCTTTGTGTCACAATTATTGCCTTGTGTGCTAGCAAGAATAATACTAATGGATCTGCACAGAAGAGGGGAACAGTATGAGACCTTGTCTCAGGAGCTTTTCAAGTTTTAATTTCCATATCTATAGGCTGGAAGTAAAAAGTTTAATCGAGCCAAACTCTTGAATGTGGGCTATCTAGAAGCTCTCAAGGAAAAAAATTGGAACTGCTTTATATTCCATGATGTGGACCTGGTGCCCGAGAACGACTTTAACCTTTACAAGTGTGCAGATCAGCCCAAGCATCTGGTGGTTGGCAGGAACAGCACTGGGTACAGGTAAGGTGGCCCTGCTGATGGGTGGCTGAGGTCGCGAAGCTTTTCTGTTGCTACCAAGGTTATGTGGAGCAAGCATCCAGAGTGTCTTAGGAAAAATGGTCCATGATATATTACTTAAAGTTCAAATGGGAATTAGAGAATATAATGAGGAAAACAATCCTATAACAGCTTTGGTAGAGAATCACAAAGACAAGAAGGAAAGATCAGGAGAGAGAATATAATCCAAGCATTGCAAATGGCGGCCAGCTTTACCCCCAACACCCTCATGGTAGGGCTTTTGCAAGCTTTCCCACACCGAGTAGAACTCAAGTAACTTAAGTGTCTTCCGTGATGTCTCCCTCCAGAAGGTAACAAGGTGATGTCCCTTAGATCACCTTTTAGGCCTCTGTTGTGACATCCCTTCCCAGACGGTAGCATCTTCCAAAAGTTTTTAGAAGAGGTGGGAGGGACGTATTCACTAAGTTGTCTGCTCAGGAGCCAGGACACCCAGGACAAGTGCCTTCCTCTCAAAGCCACTGTGGGGATTGCCACATATCATCATCTCTGACTTCATTCTCCCCATGCCATCACTCCCAAAGAGAGGCATAGCTGCTTTCTTTCTTTTTTTAAAAAAATTTTATTTTAAAGATGTGGGTTACCACTCAGGGTTAGGTATACAAATGTTCATTATGCAGGTACACTTGTTGATGAGGGGTGTCCCTTCCTCCCCTGGCAGTTTCCCTCAACTGCCAATTTCACCCCCCTCCTCTGGTAGTTTCCCACTGCTGCCAATCTCAATTTATAGTATTATGATCATTGTTCAGGCATAGCTGCTTTCAAGCCTTATTTTTTACCAGCTCCAATTCAAGCACAACCAAGGGGAAATAGCACCAAGAAAGTTTCCCTACAAACGAAACTTTATATTTCCTTATGTGTGTGCATACTTACCTGTCAGCTTCCGTCCAACCCTGAGCTCATATCTGTGATGCTTATTGTGCTAGGGAAGAGCACCTGCCCTCAGGGAACTCCCTGTTGGGTGTTGATGGGGGAGACAGGTAGCTGCACTGGAGTTGTGTTAACTTTGCATTTCTACAAATATAACTATAAGCACTTGGTGAGGTGGGGAGAAAGGGGCAACTGGAGAGAGGGAGAGGGAGGCAGAAGGAGAGAGAGAACTATAAAACTCTAATACAGGAGACTCCAGTGTATACTCTGAGTGTGAATGGAAACAGAATCTCTTGATTCTCACGTGGTCTGGGAATCCATGTTGCTCTTACTGTGTCGGTCTCTTACATTGGGCTGTTTAAGAGAATTCTTGGATACTATTATTTGTATGTGACTTTTGCCTCAGGTATTGGCTTTTTACCTGAGTAAAGCCAATTCCCTGTGTAAGCTGGAGGATAGTAACAGACACCTGGAATAAACTATGATGGGTGAGAGCACAGTGTCTTTAAGAAACACCTAGGGGGCCAGGCTCGGTGGCTCAGCCTATAATCCCAGCACTTTGGGAGGCTGAGTCGAGTGGATTGTCTGAACCTGTGGGTTCGGACCAGCCTGGGCAACTTGGCGAGACCTCTTCTCCACAATAAATCAAAAATTAGCCAGGCGTGGTAGTGTATGCCTATAGTTCCGGCTACTTGGAAGGCTGAGGCAGAAGGATCGTCTAAGTCCAGCAGGTTGATACTGGGGTGGCTGTGAGCGTGCCACTGCACTCCAGCCTGGGCGATGGAGTGAGACTCCAACTCAAAAAAAAAAAAAAAAGAAAGAAAAGAAACATCTAGGAAAGGGCTTAAACCTATGTCCCAGGGAAGGTGGCTTCTTGATCCTGTGCAATCAACAGGAACTTCTCAGAGGTTCTCAGACATGCCCGCAAACACGGTGCAGTCTTGAGGGAAATGCAAGTAGTTCACTGGTATTCTAGGGTGAATGTCTGGGATGAGAGGCAAGAGATGAGGCTGGCAGGGAGCAGATGACACAGGCCTTGTTTAGTCTAAGGAGTTTGGATTTGTTGTGGCAGGGGATAGCTGTTGACACATGGTTATAGCTGGGAAATGACAGGAGAAAGCTCAACTCAACCGGTCTTTAATGTATTGAATGGAGCAAGGAGGAAGGGGAGAAACTGAGGGGAAAGATGCCAAGTGCCTGAGTTAGGACGCGGCTGGTGGGGCCAGAGGGCAAGGAGAGCATCACAGGATTTGTCTGTTTTTTTTAATTTGAATTTTATTAGCTAGAGGTTTTGTTCTTCTGTTTTCTTTGAGTCACTTCTTCATTGAGGAAAGCAGCGTATGCTGACTGGGCACCTTGGCTTCTTTAGAAGCTTGTCACCATCTGTTCACTTATTATGTAAAACTGATAAGATATCACTATCTATATAACACAGAACACCTGTACCTCCGATGCTTACCATAAAACTTCTCATTACTCAGTTCTTTCTAGAAATCTGGCTACTCAGTTCATTTCTAGACAGTCACCCAGGCAAGGGAGTTGTTTCACACAGGATGTTTTAAGGACAGGGCCTTTTGTTAGGATTCTAGCTTTCATCTTTGTGTTAAGCTGGATCATAACGAAGTTGAGTTCTTAGGCATGCCTAACTGATTCTGACTTATACTTTGATGTTGTGGTTGTGATTTTGTCAGATGCTACTCACTCTAAGAAATAGCCCATGTATGAATACTGCTGGATTTTTTTTTTTTTGAATAGTAGTCTCACTCTGTCACTCAGGCTGGAGTGCTCTGGCACGCTCCCGGCCACTGCAGCCTTGACCTGATAAAGGCTCTGATGATCCTTCCACCTCAGCCTTCCAAGTAGCCAGAACTCCAGGCACGCGCTACCATGCCTGGCTAATTTTTTGATTTATTGTGGAGACGAGGTCTGGCCAAGTTGCCCAGGCTGGTGTTGAACCCACGGGCTTAGGCAGTCCACTCGCCTTGGCCTCCTGAAGTGCTGGAATTACAGGCTGAGCCACCAAGCCTGGCCCTGTCTTAATTTTATCTTTTGATTTAAATTTTTCACAAGTCCTTGTCATTTATATTTTTCTGTTTTATTGTATGTATCATGTAGACCAGCAGTTCCCAAACTCTTTGGCATCTGGGACCAGTTTTGTGGAAGAAAATTTTTCCATGGACTGGTGGCAGGGGGATGGTTTCAGAAGGATTCGAGTGCATTACATTTATTGTGTACTTTATTTCTATTGTTATTATTATATTGTCATAGATAATGAAATAATTATCATCATAATGCAGAATCAGTGGGAGTCCTGAATTATTTTCCTGCAACTAGACAATGTCCTCTGGGGTGACAGGAGACGGCGCTAGCATTACCACCTCAGCTCCACCTCAGATCAACAGGCATTTGATTCTCATAGAGAGCAAGCAACCTAGGACCCTCACATGCGCAGTTCATAATAGGATTCATGCTTCTGTAAGAATCTAATGCTGCCGCTGATCTGACAGGAGGCGGAGCTCAGGCAGTAATGCGAGCAGTGGGGGAGCTGCTGTAAATACAGAAACAGCTTTGCTCACTTGCTTGCTGGCTGCTGGCTTCCTACTGTGCAGCCCGATTCCTAACAGGTCATGGACTGGTGCTAGTCCGTGGCCCGAGGGCGGGGGACTCCTGATGTAGATGGCCTCATCTTTTGTGGCCCGGGAAACGTGTGTATAAGAAATGCAGGAGTTGGCCTCCTCCCGCTTTGCTACTCTGGGCAATATCCCTGTTGTGGTGGCCAATTCTGCTGCTGGCAGCTGAGTGGCTGCCCCCTGCTGGCAGCTGTGTGCCACTGCGCCACTGGGCTTAAGTCAGCCCACACTTCACTGTCACAACAGTTCCATGAGTGTGTTAAGTGCAAGAAATACTATCACTTTACACACACCCAGAGAGAAGAAGTTAAAGTAACTTGTCCCACGTGTCTCAAACTCTGATGAAGCCAGAAATAAATCTTGTTTGTCACTGCTGACGGGTCTGTGATAACGCTCTGTACCAGCCTGTGACAGATTTTACCTGCACAAATTCCTTGGGTACTTACCTCTATTATACAAGGACTCTAATGTTATTTTATGACTACATTTTCCCCATCCTTGGGCCTTTTGGCTCTTTAAAAATAAAATGGTTTCAGGACCAATGAAATATTTCTGCTTCTACAGATAAGATGATAAATCATAAGCAAAGATGAATAAGCCTGTAGACAGCTATCATCTGACAGGCAGCTGTGAAACCAAGTTTCTTAACCTCTCCAGCTGGACTGGTAGTCCTTCAGACACCCTGCTCTTCTCTCCTTCCTGCACTTTACCTTGCGGAATTCTGGCCACCAGGAGACCCCCCCCCCCATTTTTCTGCATATCT